TCTCTCGCTCAGTCGCTCTGTATGTGTGCTTGCTGTTGTGGAAGTCAGATCGCACACTGAGGAGATGCTGGCAGCTGACTGTGGAGCGAACTCACAGAGAGGGGCATCAGCGTGGACCTACTATCAGGCTTATCAAGGACACCATGGCAGCATCTTTCTCTACTTCTCCTCCTCCTCATCACTCATTCCTCTTTTGAAGTGAATTTCAGAGTCTTTTTCTGAAACTTGATTGCTGAAGCGACTCACTGATCACTAAGAGCTTCCGTGGGGATCCGTACTCCCATCCTCTTCATCGTCCGCGGTGTTCTTCCTCCACCATCGGTGGGAGAGGAATTCACAGGCTTTGGCATGACGGAGATCTTGGTATCGGATGTAAACTTGAACTCGGTGTGCGAGCGTCTGGAGCAGCACTGCTGCGTGGATCAGAATCAGCACAATCTGTCCAGCCAGCCACAGACCCCTGTGCACAAGAGGCACAGCAACACTGGGGCCAAGCTATGGGGCCGCGTCCGCAGCAAGCTGCTCAGACAAAAGGTTTCTGGTTAACATATGTACACACACACACACACACACACACACACACACACACACACACACACACACACACACACACAAGCTGTGGTTTTTGCTCTTTAATCTTTTTTTCATCCTCTATTTATCACTGTGTCACTTCCATCTGTTGGTTCTCCCTCTCTTTTATCCTCAGTTCATCCCTTTCTGTGTGCGTGTGCTCTCTTAATGGGTGTCTTTATTTCTGAGTTGACTATTGTTCTATTCTGAAAGGTCAGATGACTGAATGTAGCTAGTGATGACAGTGATGGCTAAACTGTGACCCAGAAATAAGGATATGGGTTTATTTCCCTTTTTTACCCTGGTAGAATCTGCATCTCTATTACTAACTTTAATATTTGAGCTTTAAAAAGTATTGAATATTCTTGATTAATCCTGAATTGCACTGGAGTTTGATGCAGGATCGGTTACACTCACTTGTGAATAACTTGTGAGAAGATGTTAATATTTGAAAAAATGGTACCGACATGAAACGGGACTGTGCGACGATTTAATTAAGATAGGAATTCACGATCGCTCTAAAAGCACTCTGTTTAATAATATGAAATAATAATTTCCTGCTCCCTGCCCTCTCCTCTCCATCAGTCTTCATATCCACAAGCCTTTTTTTCTCCTTTAAAAAAATAAAATAAAAAAAAAGCTACTAGTGATGACTAAAAGGCAGCTTGTCATGTTGTTTGACGATCAGAATGGCTCCCTCTGCTGTTCAGTTGTGATAATGACGCCTCTTTGGCATTTAAAGCAACGATTTTTTCTTCTTCTGTTTATTAAGTGTCATATTACTCCATATTGTCTCTGAGACACACATCTGGAATGTTTGCATGATGTCGTTTTGGTATGCAGCCAGTTATTATCCCTTTCTTTGTAGTGTCTGCAACTGGCCTTTTGTGGTGTTGCGACGTTGTTTAAATGCAGTTTCTGGTTTGTGACTCTTTTGGCTGAGCAGCAAAGGTTCTGTGATTCAGTGCACACCTCTGCACACACAGCTGAAACAGAGTAATGCAGACATAAGCTGAGGAATTTTTAGGTATTTATTTATCTGGAGGGGGTGACCACGTTCTTGCACAGCCCTCCTCTTCTTCAGCATCAACAGCGTTTTGAGCTGTAATTTGTGTGCATCATAACCGTGTTCATAACAAAGAGTCAGATTTAGGCTGACCTTTGCTTCCATGTTTTCCATTATTCAGCACGAGCCTGAGGAAAGCTGACCACTCTTTTATACTGAGCGGAATAAAACAGTGATTACATACATTATTTCTCTGTACACAGGTACCACCGTGTTAATGTCAAGGCATTAGAGGAGGAAGTCCCTTTGTCTCACTGCTGTCCAAATTTCTCAGCTTTGGCAATAAGTCTTTTTGGTATCTTGCCACCCTGCACTCACACCGTGCCGAAATCCCTGTTCACCCATCTGCTCTGTAAGGTTCATCCTTTAATTCTTGTCACTTTTTCTTTCTTTTTTTTTTTTTTGAGTGAGCTTGTGTTGTCATTTTTCCAAGCTTGGTTGCCTTTTGATCCTATCAGTCTTTCTACAGTCCCCCCCTTTCTTTCCCTCGGTCATGTGTTTCATTGCAACATGCTGGGGATTGCTCTCGATGATGTTTAACTATCCACTGATATTATCTAAAACCATAACACAGCGGAGGCACGCATGGATTTTTTGAATAGTTCTGTTTTCTGTAAAGGGTTCATTCTTAGTTTTTGGTTAAGCAGTGTGTGTGTGCACTCTGTTGTGCATGCTTTTAAAATTAAATCATGCAGATATGCGTTTAGAAATTTGAATCATAATTGTTGGGGCCAGGAAAAGCAGACTTTAGGGCATAGTGCGTCTTGTTTCTGTCTGTGCATCTGTGGCATGCATCATGTTATTTACTGGGTGTTTAGAGGAATGAAAAGGATAGGTGAGGGCACGGAAGTACACCAGGGAATTGTGCTCCCTACGTGAGCTGGAAGCAGCGCCTAATTAAGACACAGTGTGATGAGATGGAAAGCTGGCTGGAAAACGCTAATTGGTGTAGAACTAGACACAATATATTTGATGTGTCGCAACAAAGGAGCAAATAGCCTTGAGGCTGGGATGTGGGGTTGTAGCTTTTGCGTTGTGTTCTGTTTTTCCCTCCTTTTTGTGGACTTTTAGCCAGCTTAGTGCAGAGAACAATGCAGACTAAGCCATCGAGGAGAATCGCATCCGACCATTATCATCTTCCCTCCCACTCGCTCATCCTACCTCTTACCCTTGCAGCATTTCAGCTCCCATATGGAAATTATACTCTCCATTTTAGTATGTTGATTGGTGCAGACGAGATATTAGCATTTCATCCTTTCTGTGTGCCTAAAATGCCATCTACTCCCCTAATGGCCTTTTTATATAGGCCACATAAATCTCCTCCTGTCTCCACCGGAGGGCATGGCCCTTTATTGGCCCCAATTCATCCCCCCCTGTGTGCAAGATCTGTGATTGGTTAATGGGCTCCAGGAGGGGAGTGGCAGGTCAGTAAAGCATTCTCAGGTTGATGCCCACAGTGACCCCCTTGCTTCTGGCTGTGCAGCAGCCAGCATGCAAATAGCCTTTAATCTCCTTACAGTGACACAAAGGCATTAATCATCTAATTACGGAGTGAGATTTTGGGGATGTGCTATTAATCACAGTAGTGTTGTGCACTTTATTTTTGCCCCTTGCATGCAGGTATCTATAAAGATATGGTCACTAAAAGTGTATTTGTCACTGCTGGTAAACATAAAGCACATGCTGTGAGCCTGAGCAGCAAAAGTAATGCGATGAAAAGTTACTAAATAATCAGGAAAACAAACTCGCATAGTTGCTCAGTTGAATCTTACTCCAGTTCTTTTTTTCACATTAGCTGGGAGGTTAGTTGCCATGGCTACAGTTGACAGACTTTGGATGGTGGGAACGGTGCATTTAAATGATAAAATGTCAAAGTAAATGAAACAAAGTAGTCTTTGACTGTGTCTCTCCTCCATGTGGAAACGAGAGATGACACTGGTCAATAACAAAGTTCCTGAAATCACGTGAATTTGAAGAGATTTCGGTCTTTTCCTGAGCACGTTCATGCTGCAGCACAATGAAGAAATCATAAAAAACTGATCATATGGGTATTTTAAGGAAAATAAAGGAGGTGTTTGTTTTTGACTCTGAATATTAAAGGAATATTTCACCCCTTTATGTTTTTCTGCGTTTCAGTATCAGTGCTCCGCTCTGCTGCAGGCAAGGATGGTGTTGCGTAAGTGTAGTACTCATCTGTGTGTCGCTGCTTACAGGGGCTGGATGAGAATCACACACTGCTGGCAGAGATAAAAGACTAGTCTGCAAATCACAACTCTCATTCAGTTGAAAATCCCTGCCGATTGGCCCAAACTAGGAAGAGAGGGCAGAAGGCAACATGGCAACCGAGTCAAAGACCTCCCATGGCCTCGTTGACATCAGCAGCTGTTGAGTAAAGAGTCATATAAACATTATGGTTCATGAATCCAAAAATAGTCCTGTTGCTTATGGAGCAGGAGCAACTTTGCTGCTGCAGGATGTGTTAGCTGGAAATTAAAAAGAAAAAAAATGAAATGAAGGTTCAGTCACTGTGCACACGGTTCCTGTAATCCTGCTAAATCCAAGGAGCCGCGCAGTTAGCACCACGTTCTAATTAAAGGACTAATAAAAAGCTTTCTGCAGCTGAATGAATATTTAATCAGGCAGAGAAGCAGTGGTGAAAAAGTGTGATGAAACACAAAGGACAAATTAAACAGCGATTCATTAATTTAGCATATCAAAAGATCAAGTTATGCTTTTTGCTGTGTTGTCGCCAGCACGCATTACCTCTCCAAGCACAGCAACAATAAGCTAATTAAGTCTATAGAGATTTCATTAGTTTGGCTTTACACATCACTTTGTACCTGACTGTTTGGTTCAGGCTTCTGCCGCTGTTTTCCTTCTCTTTGGTCTGCATTATTCAGCTCTTGCTTTTACATAAATTTATAATCACACAAAACAAACAAGTGTCCAAACACTGCTCTTTAGTTGTACTAAATCTGAGCAGCATGTGATACTAAATGTTCATATTGGTGACAAATTTGCACATCTGAGCAAGATTTTCTTTTTGCACTTAACTGAAACGTAGTTTTGCAAACAACTGTCCTTTCACAGACCCGCATCGGTCACGCTTGTCAGATGAAAATGCTTTCATGTATAGTGTTCCTGTGGACAGGAAAGAGGGATCCCTGTGCACAGAGAACATCGTGGATGATGTACACCGATGCATCAAGATTCTTTGTAGCGCTGCATGTGTTGAGGCTTGTGCAGCTCCATAGGGGATGCAGACCCTTGATTGCCCCTGTGTTGTTGCTGTCAGTCTCAGATCCACAGCAGGGTGGAGGGCGGGATTATATTTCCAGAGGGGAGGGGGGAGGGCTCTCAGTTAGTTCCCGTAGTGTAGTCATTATCACGTTCGCCTAACACGCAAAAGGTCCCCGGTTCAAAACTGGGCGGGAACAAGATTTTATTTTTTTTTCTTGAAATGTAAAACTGAAATCCAGAGTACAAGTCTGAGTAATACTGTGTGACTGATAACCACATTCTGCCCTGCCGGTGTAAAAGAAACCATTTAGTAGCACAAAAGAATGACTTATCAGCTTTGATCTTGTAGATCAGTCTGAGTAGACCACAGCCTGTACTCTGTTCAAACTGCATGTACGTCCCGGCTCATGTCTGCCTGCTTCTTTATTTGGAGACTCTTAGTCATGATATCAAAGCCTGTATTCTGCATGACTGACCTAGAGTCCAGCAACATGCAGGAAAAAGGATACTCAAATCAACCGTGACTTTTCTGTAGGTTTCTGCAAATGGACCGAATCACACGGCGGCCGCATGCTTCCAGTTATGTTCATTTCAATACGCTCAAACATGCAGGAGAGCAGATAAATGAGGGTTAGTGTGTTTAAGCACACAGAGTACAGAGTTAGTGGGACATGCACATATACGGCCGGATGGAAGTAAACCGGCTATACCTCATACTCGGTGCGCACACTTGCTCCCATATAAAAGCTGGGTTCTTTTATATGGGAGCAAACGTCTTTTTTCTTCTTTACGTCTCTCATATCAAGTCTCAGCTCTGTTACCTCCTGCCATCTTCCTGAAGGTTCCCTGACTGCGAGCTGTCACTCGGAATAAAACCTTAAATCCTCCCTCTGCTGTTAGACCAGCTGACTGAACTCATCCTCCGCTAAGTCACAAACCGCGTCTTGCAGTGCAATCCCTCCTGCTGACATTTTGTGCTTTATTCTGAATGAAATACTATAAAGTAAATGAAAGCTTGCTTCATGCAGGCCTCCTCTCAAACTCATTTCTCAGGGAAGCAGGCGAGTGGGGGAGCAAGTTCCTCTCAGCTATTTTTTAATAAACGGCCCAGTTGTGGATACAGGCTTGGACAGGGTCACTGAGTATACAAATGGCTGTAATGGACCCCTTTTTGTTTTTACAACCCTATTTGAGTACATTCATTTTTAATTAGGATTTTTAGAAATGAGCAGAGTAATAAGGAGGAAATGGGTAGGATATTTCTTTTTATTTTTTTCAATTAGTTTACTCCAGGGGGGCTTAAAGAGGCGTCATCAGTGAGCCTTGGATCTTTGCCCGGTTCCCTTCTCGGCAGTTGCTGTGTAAAGCCCCGATTGCAGTGATTACCTGTCCTTCGTCTGAAGCCCAAACACTGCTGGGAAAACAGGCTTTAGCGATAATAGGAATGCGTGAAACCGGTGCCAAATGGCCTTTTTACGAGGTAATGAAATACACTCACTAAAAACTTTTAATCCCGACAATAAGAGGAGCGTGCTACCCCTGCGCTCACCCAGCAAGAGTAATTTTCCTCTACGTTAAGCACATCGCTGTGCAGGGTTGCGATGACATAACTGAGTAGTGCAGATGCTGAAACTATAAAAAAGGCATTAGCTGTTGTGGCCTCGCACAGCGGGCGCAGACTCCAGGAGACTTAAAACAACAACAAGCTGTCTGTGCTGCCTCACTGAGAGACGTGAGAGCCACGCTTTGAGAATATGTGCGGTGAACGAGGAGAAGTGTCTCAGTTAATCTGGAGCCCTCGTTCGACGCCTGAGAGACTGCTGAAGACGTACAAGGGCAGCAGAAGCGAAAAAGTTGTGGGACGATAAACTTACTGCCTTCAGTTTATTGTCCAGCGTCTACGTTAGAGCCCGGGGTTACAAGCATTACTTTGCCTGGGCTTCGGGTAGTGCAGTCATGTCTCCAGTTTCCTTATTTTATCCTCCACTAAAACCGAACGTTGAGCTCCATGTGGTTATAATTTTGGAGATATTTTTCAGTTGTTTTAATTATGTTTTAATTCTCTGTAGCTACAAAACCCCAAAGGTGTCAGATCATACTTGAATGTCTTACTGGGATTCTTCTTTAGTGAAATGTAAAGAGGTTAAATCGGCATTTCTCTGTCAAACACACGAGGACGGTTACTTTTGCTTCACCACTTTCTGTTTTAGAATGGAAATTTAAGGCTTTCTCAGGTTTTATTTAGAGACAGATTAAAGCATAAAAGCAGACTCTATCTCCGTACTACAAGAACAAACATTCCTGAGGATTTATGTGGGAAAAGAATTTCCCTGGTGGCAAAGTCCGGTTTGGTCACAACACCCACCGTGGGTACGCTGGAATTAAGTGAGCAGGTTTCGAAGAAATGTACAGATACTGTTGCCAGGCTTTTTTTTTTCTTCCTTTCTGTGTGTTGTATTGAGAAATGTCGAGTTGTCCAAGGGAGCGACGGCTCACTGATGATGTGATTAAGCAATTTTTCTGTTCCTGGGAAAATCCCAGTATGAATTTAGTCATGTCCTTATTTAGGCTTCTCAAAAATGTTAACAACCATGTTTCTGTCTGTGTTGTGTCTTTCAGCTGGATCCTCAGACTGTGCAGTCCAAGAACTGGCACATGGATGTCATAGAGATGAATGGGGTAAGTATCTGAGAGGGACTTTTAGCTTGGACTCGTCCAGTAAATAAAGCCTTCAAGGTCGGAGATTTGTACAGACAGAATTTTGAATAGAATAACTAAATATATACAAAGGAAATCTTGATTTATTTTTTTTTCCATAAACTTTTTTCCACAAATTTTTCTTTTATTTTAGGTTTTTTCTCCATATATTAAAATGATTAGCTTAAAGATCATCATCATCATCATCATTTATTTATAAATAGACCAAAGTGCTGTACAATACAAATATAAACTTAGTAATAAGATAGCAGAAACCAGACATAGAAATAAAATTAATAAAAAAACAGATGTTAGTCATCGCACACAAAGTGACTCGTAACAATCCCAGAGTTTCAGTTTTGCCTTCTTAATGTTGTTTGTTCCTCCTCAGATTAAAGTGGAATTCTCCATGAAGTTTACAAGTCGAGACCTCAGCTTAAAGAGAACGCCGTCCAAAAAACAGAGTGGCGTGTTTGGAGTCAAAATCAACGTTGTTACAAAGTAAGCTTGTTCCTGTTGTTGAGACTGAAAAGGGCTCAGAGCTCATGTGTCTAAATGATAGAATGAGACATTGAAAGTTTCATGAATAGGCATTCATTGATGTGTATGTGAGATGATGAGAAAAGTTCCCGTCTCATGAAAAGAAACAACTGTTTTCATGGCGCCTGTGATGAAGATGTGCAAGCCCAGTTCAGTCATCAGAAAATAACTGCTGTGTGTGTCCACAGGCGCGAGCGCTCCAAGGTGCCTTACATAGTCCGTCAGTGCATTGAGGAGGTGGAGAAGAGAGGGATCGATGAAGTGGGAATCTACAGGATCTCAGGGGTGGCCACTGATATCCAGGCCCTCAAATCAGCATTCGATACCAGTAAGACTCCATTCACTGTCTCTGTGTGACACGCTCTTCCTCCCATCGTCTTTACTGCACGACAATATTGTTTATTGTTCTTTCTCTTTGCAATGCAGTAGAGGTGATTCTGTGATGCAGAATATGTGCAATGACATTTAGATTTATACACTACTGTGCAAAAGTCATGAGCCACAGTTCATTTCTTTTGCTCTAGGAAAATTCCAAATAGCAATAATTTATTGAGAGGCAAAGATACAGCTAAATACAGAGTTTGTATAATTCGTCATGTGAGCCTGAACTTTCTTACTTTAAGCTGCCTTTTTGTAATTTCTCTAAGAAGTCCCAGGAACAGTAGGAAGAGGCTTCTTGAAGGACACTCAAAGCTCTTCTTTGGATGTTCTCTGACAGGATGATCCCACATTGCTTCAGTAATGTCGAGATCCACAATCTAGGGAGGCCAGTCTATGACTGATAGTATTGCATCGTCCTAAAGATGTTGCTGCTGACTTTCAGTTCAGTTCTTGTGTAATCTGGCATACCTCAGCAACAGTCATCCTTCTACTTAGACCATTTCTGATGAAGCTTCAGTGAACAGTAGATGGATTAACTAAAGAAATGGGGGCAAATTGTGTTTTGCCAAATGCAGCTAGCAACAAAGTACCTAAAGATCCAAAGATAAAATAAACTCTTTGCTAAGTTGTCTGTTATGTGTAGACACAACAATGGTTCATCCCCTGAGTTAGATGCCTTTTTTATGCTTGAGTGATTCACAGATTGGTGTGAAGTGGCTTAACAAAGAAAAAAACATTCCTCTGAAGCTGGTCAGATACAGACACAAGAACAATAGTTCAGTATCAGTGAAGTCTTATACTGATTTTCAGCAGAACACATGAGTCATCTGTCTGTGTTCTTGCACTTTGCTTTTAAAAATCTGTGAGACGCCCAGTGCACTCTGCACATTGTCAAAAACACTGGTCTCACTGCAGCGAACAGCTGAAACTGACAGGAAACCGCAGACAGACTGTATGAGGACACTCTGCAGGGCTCACTCTGTTTTCCAGCACAGCGATTAATTCGCTCACTCTGTTCAGCAGGAATCACGTATGAACAACCAGGTTACAGATGTTACTGGCAAACATTATAAAATGATCCACACAGCAAAAAAATAAATCATCATTTGGCTTTTATTGTATGTGTCCTGAACTTGGGTCATGTGAGAGTCAGTAAGGCGATAGGTTTAACACAAAACCGGCTGCCCCCGCATTACAATCCCACCATACCCCATTTTTTTCTCAGTAATTTCCAAAAAACGTAGCACCTTATGCTGCTTTTAGATGTAAAAAAATTCTGCAGCCGGGTTTTTAGTAACTGAGGTCTTTGCTTTAGCACTCTAGATGAGGGATTAGTGAAAACTGACAGTCAGGCAATCCAGGACAGATGAGGAGCAGCAGCTGTATCGTGTTCAAGGTCTCCTGTTGCATAAGAGTCTTTGTGGTCACAGCTGCTTTTACTTCGCTGAGATGTGACTGAGCAGGGCCTAGCATCCACTCTGATGTGATAAACAAAAGTCAAACACCAATGCATGCGGGGTCACCTCAGTCCTGGAGACAGAGGAAGCAGAGATCAAGTGTAAAACTTGAATAATGTGAT